GGACTAGGCAGGGCGCGCCGCCCCCAGCTGCCCAACTCCCCCACACAGGCGCGCCCTGCAACAAGAAACACGCGTCAGCTACAATGTTAGTCCGCTACCAGCATGCTCTACAACCCATGTTAGTTTACATCGGCGCCACCACCACTCATGGCGCCACTACCTCCACCACACCCGCCACCACCACTACTACTACTAATATTCACAAGCAACCCCCAACATCAACACCGTCATTACCATAATATTCCATACTTGAAAATGACGTTTCGAAACCGCCCCAAATAGGAAACAACCAAATTCCTTCACTACTGCACATGCCTTGTCCACCAAGCCTTACGCCACGATCCCCTCCGGAGGACCCGCTTCGGGCCTCAAGGAAAGCCCTTGGAGTTAGTCCCAAGGATTAGAAATACTACCATACAACCAGAAGTCGAACGAATAGGCGTTAAATGGGGAAAGAGGTATGTTGCACGATGCAAACACCGGAAGAGGAGAAAAAGACCCCAGTAAGTCATTTGGGGACAAGCTTTTAAGAACTACATGTTAATTACAGTCACTGCTACGGTTATTCTTATTCAGCACACAGGCACACAACACGAACACGTACTCACAATCAACTTCCTCGCGTAAAATGACGAGATGATTTCATTAACAGGACAAAGCCCTATCATAATGCCCCAATAACCTCTTAGAGCATTTTGCAACATAGAAAAGGATCTTGTTTAATTCTGAGATACATAACCGCGCGCGTCTGTGTGTGTTTGTTTGTGTTTTTCTGTGAGTTTACATGTGTGCGTGCGTGTTTGTTTGTTTGTGTGTGCGCGCGTGCGCGTATGGATTTATACATCTATGTATATGTATGTGTGTGTGCATATGCATTATTTTTTTAAATCTACGCTCGAACTGTCATATTCAAATAAGTTTTTTCAAATGTGAAGGCATTCTACATCTAGCACACGACCAGATAAGGACCCTCTCAACATAACGGCACATCTGAAAACAAGCCTAAGCTAGATAATCAATAGCCTGATGTCATATTTTACAAATGACCCATTTAGAGAGGCTCCGCCTTACGAGTAAAGAATCTATATACTTTTATGGCTACGATGTGCCAGTCTGACTTTTGGAGCGATCCCCCTCAACTCAAGAATGAAAACTCGAAGCCCTGGTCGTGGGGTATATCAGGTAAAAATTTAATTACAATAAAAATATGATTACCTTGCATCTTTTCACCAAGAGAAATGCCAATTAGCAAGCATATTCGACTTCACACTCGGTATCCACTACAAAACTATTGATCCGTTTACTACTAGCAGCATAAGCATAATGTTGCGCGGATAATGCATAGTTTGGTATTGCCTACATCTTATAATCGTTCATTTGCACTGGCTATAAATAGTCTGTGCATGGACAGGCGCACACGCACCCTCACAAACAGAAACAGACACAGACACACACACCTCTTGATAAATGCAGATGTTACGCTTGTGTAGAAACAAATACAGGTTATGTGTCGAAAGCTTTTCTATTACAATGGACCTATTGTTACACAAACCTCAACACTTACAAAGGCAATGTCAAAACCTGTTTTAAGAGCCAAATAATGCCACGCAGGAGACCGGGGATAAATGATAAACACTCAAGATTCAAACCATACGTTTATTGTCCATAAATGCTATATACAGGAGGGGATAGTTAACACAAGAGTACACAACCACACTCGCACTCTCCCTCTCAATAATTCAGCCTTTTATTATTATATACACAGCTTTTATAGGAACAACAGAACGCGATTTGTGACACGCGGCTGCCCATCGCATTGCACGCCTGTACAGGGCCCGCAGATCAAAGGAAGTGCGCTGCGCCTCGTACGTGCGTCAGGAACACACCATGGTATCATCACAAACAACAAATGGTTATCAGTTGGGGGATCAGACTATCACATAAGTTCAAAGGTATGATATTCTTTTTCAAGATGATTTTCCTTTCCGAACATCTCCCTCGTCACGTTTGCTGCAAAACGACACATTCTATCGTGTACCATAAAAATCAAATTTCTTGGGCAAAATAAACAATTATCTGGAAAAAAATACCAAACTTTCCCTTTAAACCCTCTTTTTAATTGGACATGGGAAGCAGTGACGGTTAGGATATATATTTACGTCCATATTCATTACCCACGCAGCAATTGCTCCAAAGTGGTCGCAAACGAGACCAACTATCGCGTATTATTGTGAACTTAACGTGATCCATCCCATTAACTATCGTAATAATGCTACTGTCTTTTAAATGTATGCAAACCCTACATTTACTACTTATGAGCTGCTTTTAAATATATACACATGGCATACAAACATACGTATACATAATGCTTGTGACTGCTCGCAGATGCACGCGTTTATAGGTTCATATGGAGGGAGGGAGGGAAGGAAAGGGGGGGGGGTGAGTGAATGAGTGTGTGAAAGAGTGTGTGTGTGTGTGTGTGTGTGTGTGTGTGAAAGAGTGTGTGTGTGTGTGTGTGTGTGTGTGTGTGTGTGTGTGTGTGTGTGTGTGTGTGTGTGTGTGTGTGTGTGTGTGTGTGTGTATGTGTGTGCGTGTGTGTGTGTGTGTGTGTGTTGTGTGTGTGTGTGTGTGTGTGTGTGTGTGTGTGTGTGTGTGTGTGTGTGTGTGTGTGTGTGGTGTGTGTGTGTGTGTGTGTGTGTGTGTGTGTGTGCGTGCGTGCGTGTGCGTGCATAACTATGAAAGAGAAAGAGAGAAGATAGACAGGAGAACGAAAAAGAGAAAGAGGGAGGGGGAGGAGAGAGAGAGGGGGGAGAGAGGGGAGGGAGAGAGGAGAGGGAGAGGGAGAGAGGAGAGGGAGAGAGAGGGGGGAGGAGAGGGAGAGGGAGAGGGGGAGGAGAGGGAGAGAGGGAGAGAGGAGAGAGAGAGAGAGAGAGAGAGAGAGAGAGAGAGAGAGAGAGAGAGAGAGAGAAGAGAGAGAGAGAGAGAGAGAGAGAGGGAGAGAGAGGGGAGAGAGGGGAGGGGGAAGAGAGAGAGGAGAGGGAGAGGGAGGGGGAGGAGAGCGAGAGGGAGAGGGGGAGGAGAGAGAGAGGAGAGAGGAGAGAGAGAGGGAGAGAGGAGAGAGAGAGGGAGAGAGGAGGAGAGAGGAGAGAGAGAGGAGAGAGAGAGGGAGAGGGGAGGAGGAGAGAGAGGAGAGGGGGAGGAGAGAGAGAGGGAGAGGGGGAGGAGAGAGAGAGGGAGAGGGGAGGAGAGAGAGAGGGAAGGGGGAGGAGAGAGGGAGAGAGAGGAGAGGGGGGGAGAGAGAGAGAGGAGAGGGGGGAGAGAGAGAAGAGGGAGAGAGAGAGAGAGGGAGAGGGGGGAGGAGAGAGAGAGGGAGAGGGGGAGGGAGAGAGAGGAGAGGGGAGGAGAGAGAGAGGAGAGGGGGAGGAGAGAGAGAGGGAGAGGGGGGAGGAGAGAGGAGAGGGAGAGGGGGAGGAGATAGAGGGAGAGGGGAGGAGAGAGAGAGAGAGAGAGAGAGAGAGAGAGAGAGAGAGAGAGAGAGAGAGAGAGAGAGAGAGAGAGAGAGAGAGAGAGAGAGTGTGTATGTGTTTGTAAATGTATATGTGTATGTATGTGCGCGTCTATGTGTGTGTGTGTGCGCGCGCGCAGTGCATTTACACTGAAGAATGCGAGAACTTGTGTGTGCGCCTGCATTATGCACTGCATATGTATACCTTATGTGTACGCATATATGCAATACATACACACACTAAACTAACAACAATAAGGCACATGGGGACCCTGTTCCGTTCCCTGGTCAGCCGTTCCGCCGCGGCCGCCGGCGAGGCCCCAAGAGGCGCATGGCGTGGCGGAGGGTTGTCTTGCCTGCGCCTTGAGGCTGCCTTTCCACCCTCGCCCTTGGAAGGCTACATTGTCTCCTTTAAAAATAGTTGAACCGGAAAACAATCCGATCACCTGTGACCGCCTTTTCTTCGAAAAGTCTAAGACTGGCCTTTATCATTTACTACATCATGAAAAATCATCTATTCCCAACTTGCACTTTTATGAAACAATGAGCTATCCGTCATTACTCCACCTCCAGCAAACACCAGATAATGCGCGTCCACCAGCCTTCTGTTGGGCCACGAGATCCGATCGTAAGGGAAGCCCAGCGACCTTGACGTTTACCCACAATGCCCTGCAACACGCGAGCCGAAACCTCATGCAGCCTCCGGCCCTTCGCTGCACACGCTGAATGGCTGTGTAATGCTCACTGCCAGACAATGGACTTCCTTGTACAACTATAGTCTTTTTTACTGATAATCAGTCTTTGAGGTTTAGATACAATGCTTCGAAACTATCAAAATACGCAAGGACTCTCTAACACAACTTTAACGACTCCTGATGAGAACTGCAATTCTACCACAAATCCACGTTTACTCATTTCTCTCTTTAAAACCCGGCTTTTGAAAACAGAATTTTGTGAACAAAAATAGGGACTTCGATTAACAGTAAAATTCACCAAATTGGAGAAACCACAAATTATTTATCAAAAAAAAAAAAAAAAAAAAAAAAAAAAAAAAAAAAAAAAAAAAAAAATGCTTGTATGGAACTGAAATTCTAAGACGCCATGAAAAGGCACAACGGGCATTTGGTGCTTCCGGGTAGGCTCGAAGCTGGTGACGTTACCTAGTTTCGCCAATTATTATCTCGAGAAGAAGAAAAAAAAGAAGATTGTAAATGTGTATGTATGTGTATGTGTGCATGTGTCTATATATATTTATATATATTATTTATATTTATTTATATATATTATATATATTATATTATATTATATATATATATATTATATATATATATATATATATATATATATATATATATATATATTATAAATGTTGTGTATGGATGTGTATGTATATATGTATGAATGTATAGTGTGTGTGGGTGGGTGCATGTGTGTATGTGCGTATGTATGTATGTCGTATGATATGTATGTATGTATGTATGTATGTATATATGTATGCATGTACTTAGTGTACGTATATGTATGTATATGTATGTAAATGTGCGTGCGTATGTGTGCGTTTGTGTAATTATAATTTTGAAGACATGGCAACAGCCTATTTCCAAGATGATTTCCTCACAAAACCAAATTTATCTCTATAACTGTAAAGTCATCAAGAACTACATAGGATAAGCTTTAAGACTGCCGACCGTTCAGAAGCAAATCAAAACAAACAACAAAAACTATAGCACCAGTCGAAATAAACTCGGCTCCAGCGACCGTCTCGTCCGACGCACAGACTGCCCCCCCCCCCCCAAACGGGCCGGACGAAAGCGGAGACGCCACACTTTAGAAGCACCGGGTTGAACTCTCTCCGTCTTTTGATGCAGCTTGCCTCGTCACATACATCAAGTTGAAAATAATGGTATATTATGCAATGAGGAATACAAAACGTGTATTGCAAATACTTTCGGCGTGAATTAATCTGTGAATGAGTTATCTTAATTATGCTTGTTTATTGAATTGGAAATTTACGAATCATGACACAATTAACATAATATTTGCAGGTAACCACAAAGAAAAAGTCTCAGGACGCCATTAAGAGACATACAGATGGTAGATAAACATTATGAAATGTCTATCAGGCATTTCTCTTTCTGTTAGTTTATACTGGCCCAGTAACTTAAACTTTCAAGTTTTTTGTACACAAGATTTGTGTCTTCTTTATATTATCAACTTCCTCTGTAAAATAAAGAAAAAAAGTACTGTGTGTCGCCCTCACTCATGATGTATCTCATCTCACAGTCCACGAAAAGGCAGTCCTTTCCATGATAGTTGCCGACCCCTATCAAGGCCCTACGTCGGGGAGGCGGGGCGACGCAGCACAAGGTCGGTGGGCTGGTCGTCGTCCAGGCCGTCGAATTCCTCTTCCTCGACCTTGGCTTCCAGGGGGTCGTCCTCATCCAGGCCCATCCCCACGGCAGCTCCTGACACTGGGACCCCGATGACCACCGAAGCAGCAGCCGCAGCCGCCTTCTTTTGAGTGGCCGTCGAACACAGCAACACGTGCTCTTTGATGTAGTATCTGTTCCTGAAGGTGCGTCGGCATATGGGACACACATACTCCTCGCCCGAATGCTGTACGCGCTTATGTTTGTTCAAATTCGATCGTGAAGTAAACGTTTTATTGCAGATATCACAGGTCAGCGGGGGAACCACTCCGGGCGCGGTCGTTATGCGCATAGTGACGGAGGACTGGGAAGCAAGACTGCTGCTGGTGCTGCAGCTGCCTCCCGTGGGCGAGCTGCCGCTGACGACGACCGGGAGCTTGGGCACGATGTTGGCCAACGGGGAAGGCGTGAGCGAGTGGCCTTCGGCGACCGGGGAGCGCCCGCTCGGCGTCGTGCAGCCTCCACTCGTGATGGGGGACCTTACACTTGCCTGCTGTGATTTTTGTTGAGTATAAAGAGTTGCTTTGCTACGCATCCCAGCCAACCCACTAGGTGAGGCCGGAGACCGGTTGAGACTAGGAGAAACTCCCTGACCTGGGGATCTCATTTGTCCTGGGGACCTGGTGTTGACAGGTGATCTCCCCTGACCTGGGGACCTGTGAAGGCCGCCCGCCGTGCCCGAGTGGTCCGCTACCAGGCGTGCGAAGGTG